AATATATTGAGAAAGTATAATTTTTTTTAAGGATAGTAAAACAAAAAATTTAATAAAATAGGGTAAATAAAATTTAAATAAAAGATAAATGTAAAAAAAATACATATTTGATGTTTTAGAAAATAATTATGTTTTATTTAAAATGTATATCAGTAGAATACATGTTTGTTGTACTCTGTTCAATGGAGTGGGGTGGAGTAGAGATGGAAACAGGGCTGATATTGGGTAGGAAATGCATCCCCCATCCTCGACTCCAACCCCAATCTAATCCCCCGTCCCCAACCCTGCTCTGACTAATCCTCAACGGGTTCGAGGAGAAAGAATCCCTGACAAGTTTGGGAAACCCGTTGGGGACCTGTTTAGTAAATAACAACCTATTTAAAAATTAAATATATATATATATATATAGCAATATTGAAAATCAGATGTATTTATCATTACTGAAAATCAGATATATTTATCATTCAACAATAAATATATACATGTATATATTTGTTTACACATGTTAAATAAAATTATGGGTGGGCAATTTTATTCCGACCCTCGACCCCGCTTCAGGTATGAAAATAAAGCATCGTCCCTACCCCGTTATCTATCAAACTGTGGAAAATCCCTGCCCGTTAAGGTCTCGATACCCGCCCCAACTGATAAAATTTCCATCTCTATGCCTATTTAGCTATTCCACTCTTTTCATGTCTCTTCCAAATAAAAATAATAACAAATATGAACAATGATTATTGTTCTTCTCTTTATATTGATTGCCTCGTAAGCCTGCATTTGGTACATGAGACAGAACAGGACAGAACGAATACAAAACTCATTGTCCCTTGTTTGACGTGACACGGGACAAGACAAGAAATCACTGTCCCAAGTTTGGTGTGACATAGGACAAGGACATGAACTAGACAATTTTTTGAGATAGAACATAAAATGAGACAAAATCTAAAATATTACTAATTTACCATCCGTTTGATATATAATATTAATATAGTATTTGTTTTAATGATCACTACCGCTAGTCGTGGCTGCCGCACCACCGCCGGCCATCGGTAGCCATCGTCGGCCACCTCCACCTCCACCTCTTATTCCACTATAATAACCTCCTCCACCACCTTCCATCATCACTTCCACAACCACCATCACCCATCGACCACAACCATGGACCACCTCACCTCCACTATCACCACTACAAATAGCCACAAGTCCACAACTACCTCCTTCACCATTGTTGACCACCACCACCACTACTACTATCTACCATCTTCACGTCCTTTACAACTACCATCGTCCACCAATCACCAATGTTTCTACCTTCATAACCATTATTTTTGCAACAGTTTGCATCTTTCCTTCGTCAATTGATAAAGATCTTCCAAACCGAATAAAACATAATTTTTTCTTTATACGAATTGGGTTTTTTCGAACCACCATCATTTAAATCAATTTTTGAATTCAAATTTGATACTATTATATATATATATATATATATATATATATGTGTGTGTGTGGGTGTAAAAATGCTTATAAATTAAATTATTTGATTATTTATTTTATTTGTGTTAATTATAACTATTATATGATATATAAAATAATCAAATTATTTTTAAAGACAACTTATCTAGTTTTATCCTGCCCAATAATAATCATATCAAATTGACAATTATTATGTTTAGTCCTTCCCTCTTTTACTATCTAGTTTTATTTGATCGAATATCTGATTAAAAATGATATAGTTACGGACGGTGAAAAAATACAAAACTTCTTTTTAAAAGAAGATAAACGACACCGTAAATCGACGAGCTCCACCACCATCAGTGTTGAGTGAGCTCTCTCTCTCTCTCTCTGTTCCACAAATCTCTCATTCTGTTCCGCCATGGAAGCAATGCAGTTACACAGCTCAAAATATCTCTCCATCTCCATCTTCCTTCTGTTCCTTTCCATCCATGGCGTCGCCGCTACAACCATCATGATGGTAAACAAATGCAACCACCCCGTCTGGCCGGGAATCCAGCCGGGCGCCGGCCATCCCGTCCTCGCTCGCGGCGGCTTCAAACTCCCTCCCAGAAAATCCTACACGCTCTTCCTCCCTCCCGCCTGGTCAGGCCGTCTCTGGGGACGCGTCGGCTGCGCCTTCGACAATTCCGGCCGCGGAAAATGCGCCACCGGCGACTGCGGCGGCTCACTCTACTGCAACGGCATGGGCGGTACACCACCAGCCACCCTAGCCGAAATCACACTCACGGCCGAACAGGATTTCTACGACGTCAGTTTAGTCGACGGCTACAACCTCCCGATCGCAATCACTCCGTTTAAAGGCACCGGAAAATGCAGCTACGCCGGTTGCGTTAGCGATCTGAATGTTATGTGTCCGGTGGGATTACAAGTGAGATCTCATGATCGGCGGCGCGTGGTGGCGTGTAAGAGCGCGTGTTCGGCGTTTAACTCGCCGAGATTCTGCTGTACCGGTAGTTACGGTAATCCGCAAACGTGTAAGCCGACGGCGTATTCACGGATATTCAAAGTGGCTTGTCCTAGGGCTTATTCGTATGCTTATGATGATCCGACGAGCATTGCTACCTGCACCGGCGCTAGTTACTTGCTTACTTTCTGTCCTCACCATTAAAATGAGGTCTGAAATCATGTCATCCGCCATGGATGTTGGATTCGAGCTCTTTTTGGAGGTTTGTTGTTGTTGTTTTTGATTACGGTATTTGGGGGTGGAATCGATTAACCAGATTTCTATATGTTTAAGTTTACTTTAGTTTCTAGTAATATTCTATGAGGCCAGCTTTTTGGGGCTTGTCTGTTCAGCTCTTCGACTTTTTAGAAAAAAGCAAAATTTGAAATTGTTTGTGGGTGATGGTGACGTCATGTTTGACCGCCGTTTGGTGGTGGGTTTGGAACCCTAGACCACTCGGGTATTGGGTGGGCTTTCTTTATGGGCCTAGATTTATTTTCAACTTTAGTGGGCCGAAACGAATGTCTATCGGGCCTGAATGTGTATGGTTCAAGTTTAAACATTAAAATGCAGGGAAGGGAAAGGATGAGTATTTGAGAAGCAAAAAGTGATACTAAGTAAGGGGCAGTGTACCAAAATTAACTTACTGAATTAATATAATAAAGATCAAGAATCTTACTCGGTAAGTGAGAACAGCGATTTTTACCACAATAAGTTCTTAATGGATAAATTGTTGCATACGATGTCGTTTTGGTAGACTAAAATTTTATCCGGTAAGTAAATGATGGTGTTAAATTTTACCAGTAAGCGCTTACCGATTAAGTGTTTGGTAAACGACCCCAAAGAGGATGTTTGACAGTTGTTATAATGGTTTGGTGCAGAATAATTAAGAGGCTCTCATTATATAGTGCAAAATGAAATATAATTGTTTGGTAATTGTTTATAATGAAATTAGGGAGTTTAATGGTTAAGGGAGACTCAAGATACAAAATCATTCAGAGGGTTTTAGAACCATTAAGAAACATATATTTTTTGGTCAAACAAGATTCACCTCTTAATGATTCAGATGTTGCATCTTAATGGAACTATTAAGAGGTAAACAAACAACCTCTTAATTATTTCATTAAGAGACATCATTTGAACCGTTAAGAGGTAAATCTTGTTTGAAAAAAAAAACCCTCTTTCTTAATGGTTCTATAATCATCTGAATGATTTTTATATTATTAGTCATTCTTAACCATTCAGCGTCCTAATTTCATTGTAAACAATTACCAAACAATTATATTTCATTTTACACTGTATCATGATAGCTTCTTAATCATTCTACATCAAACCATTCAACAGCTGTCAAACAGTACCTAACCTTTATTTATATTTATTAATTGTTACCATCCCGTTAGGTAAGCATAAATCATGCATAACTTTTATGTGATATAAAATAGAATAAATTACGTTTTTCGATCTTGTTGTTTGTTAAAAATTTACAGATTTCGTCCCTGTGGTTTTAAATTTTTTATTTTCATCCTTATACTTTGTAATTTATTTTTATTTTTGTCTTTAAGGCTAAAACTCTATTTTTAAGTATGAATGACCAAAATAGAAATGAATTATAAATCATAGGGATGAAAAAACCAATAAATTTTAATTCATAAGAACGAAATAGCCATGAAAATGAAGCATCCCACACTACTCTGCCCACGACAAAGAGAACCCTTTTGACCCATTTCGAGATCCGATTGAAAACGAGGTGTTGAAGATTAAAAAAAATCCTATTTGTGAAAATAAGTTGAACAGGTGCATAAGATCCTGCTCGGACATACATAAGTCCAACCCTGACTACAGCTTAACCCAATCTATACAGCTACAAGTTAAGCAATTATTTTATCAAGTTCATATAAAAACCCTGTTATTTAAAGCCCCAAACTTTAAACTTTCACATTCGATCTCCAATTTATAAATCTTTTATCATTCAAAAAGCACATGGCAGATAGACGAGTTAGCATCGGAACCATTATCTTCATCATCAAAATCGTCTTATCACACCCACAATCCGATACAGATACGCTAACTTCTGATTGTATGTACCCCATCTCTATCGTTATCACCCATGATTGCGTTGTCAAACGAATGCACCACCACCAACCAAATGGTTCGGGAAATATGTCACGCACCCTGAAGGTGAAAATGAAGATAAAGATCGATAAAAATAAAACCATGTTATACAAGTCTTAATGAAACATGTATAGACTCTAAATCTTGCTCTCACTTATTTTATTAAATAATATATTCTTTGTCATCGAAATGAATTGTTGGTACGCATTATTTATCCAGTAAGTGCTAATCAGATAAAAGTCTTTTTTTTTATTGCCAAGTAAGATTCTTGATCTTTGCTATTATTTAAAAAAAGGTAATTTTTTTTTTATCGTTATCATGTTCTGTGGGTAAAAAAGATGACATGAGTAACCCAATTAAACCCATAACTAATGTCATTTAAGAGACTAGAAATAAATAATAAAACTATGAATTAATAAATGCCTTATTATATATAGAAAGAGGGGGTAGGTTCACATAAGATCAGTCTGTTTTAATGAGACCACTTTTTTACACTTGAAACTTCACAACAAAATGTTGTAAAAGTAAAAAAAAGCCAAACCTTCACAATAAAAACACCGTGAATGTTACCTTCATAGCGTTTTGCTGTGAAGTTTCAAGTATAAAAAAGTGGTTTCATGGGTCTTAGAAAAATAGGTCAGTCTCATATAATCCCAAGTCTCTCTCTCTCTCTCTCTCTCTCTCTATATATATATATATATATATATATATATATATATATATGTTGGGTTATGTGAGAATATAAGTTATGGTAAGAAGTATAAGAAGAGATATCCACCTTTAAATCAATCCTAATTGAAAATCAACACTAATACGGTACACCGAATCAATTCTCGTGATAAGTGCAATTCATGAGTGGAGGTGAGATTAAAAGTGATCAAATGTTCATATATATTCTTATGTTTATCACTTGAACTATTATTCTCACACAATTCATCATATATATATATATATATATATATATATATATATATATATAAACACAGAGAATTGAGATCATGTAGTCTATTTTCATAAAACTAATAAGACCACAAAATAACACCGGACATTCATAACAAAAAAAAAACATTGTGAATGTAGAGTGTTTTTATTGTAAAGTTAAACCTCTACAGTGTTTTTATTATGAATATTCGTTTTTGTTTTGTTTTTTAGGGTTTTACAATACTTTTCTATATAGTTTCAATGTTATTTTATATTCTCACGAACAAATGGATCTCATGAAAACCCAATTATTTATACATATCCATATATATACATAGATATACATATACATATATGTATGTAGACTTGGGATCATATGAGACCAAAGCTTTTTCGTGAGACCCGTAAGACCAATTCTCAACCCTTGGATTAGATCTACAATCTCAACATTCATAATCACAAAATTGCCACGAGACTTCTCAGTAGTTACAAAATTACCACCGTGCAACTTTGGACCATTAGATCATTAGCTTACAAAGTTGATCAATAAACATAAATTAGTCTCACGAAAAACCCTTGGTATCACATGAACCCAACTCTAACGTTGATAGAATTTTGTTATGGGTAAAAAAAAGAAAGGATAGGTAAAAAGAGAGATATAATAAATAGGAGTTGGAGGGAGGGGATGCATTAAAGTGATAGAGATCCCCCAACCCAATGCATTAACGCACCTCCTTTCACAAAGAAACCCACACATTTCCAAAGTCAACACCTCACTCCTCACTCCAACCCACCTCTACCACCTACCTCCTCTTTGCACACCCTATATCTCATCTCATATCTATATCTATATCTATATCTCATATCATATCTATATCTATATCTATAAATATGCTTATATACACAACTCGGTTTAGCTATGAATAGAGCTGTAAACGAATCAAACGTTCAGTGAAATGTTTGGGCACGAAGTTCGTTTATGTTTGTTTATTTTTAATAAACGAATGAATATGAATATAGTATTGTGTTCGTTTAGTTAAATGAACATTGGTGAACGAATAAACACTGGTCCGTTCATTTATTTACATTCATGAACGTTCGTTCATCTATGTTCGTTTATATTTGTTTATAAATCTTCTCTTTTTTATACATATATATATATATATATAATTATATATAGGGCGCAATATCTTAAATGTTAACTTTACATAAGAAAACAAATCATATGGAACAATATCTTAAGATAAAAGTTATCACAGTTATCACAATACATACTTTTTTTCATTTGATTAACGCCCCTAGGATTAGGTTCTGGTGAGAAAAGATCTTTACCCTTGGATGCACCGAGATGAACCGGATCAATTTCCTTCTAAAGCTCAATTCATGAGTGAACATGAGATTAAAAATAATCAAGAGTAGAAATCACTTCTTACACTTCTCACCTTAACTTTTTTTTTTCTCACATGATCTTTTATGTATATATGTATTTTTTTCATATATATTCGGTTAACAATGTGAAACTTTTTTACGTATAACTTTTATTTCACAAATACGCTATATATATATATATATATATATATGCACATGTATGTATCGTGTAGATTAACGGTTACGAAGGTATTACTCAGTTTTTTTTTGTAATTATAATTATACCGTTTTACAATGGGTTATGTTTTGGTGAAATGAAAGCATGCATCCATGCATGGAATGCATCCATGTGTAGGGAGTGCTTAGCTGTCTGGAAAACATGCAAAGCTTTTAAATACCATCACATGCATTGCTTCTTAATATGCATTCATTCATCTCCCCAACTACTTCTCTCTCCCGATACCCTTTTCATTTCATTCACTCAATTCCATTCTAAATAACACTTGTTTCTTTTCCATTAAGCTTTTCACTTTTAATAACATGCATGTGTACCCATATACCATACATACATATATACATACATATATATATATATATATATATATATATATATATATATATATATCTTTTGGGTTCATTAACATCAAATGTGTCTGAACAATATTATTGTTTGTGTTCGTTTATTTATTAAATAACATTAACAGTTGTACAGTTCGTTGAATGTTTATTCCGTTTACAGTCTTATTTCGGTGACGACATTTCGCTTTGATTAGACCAACCATGCATGCCCATCTACATCATTGTCCTTGGTATTGTAGAACGGAAGCGAGAACACACACATATTATTTACGATGCATGTTATCATAGAATGTTTTATCATCTGCTAGATTCTACTATTAAATTCGGTTATTTATCTGTTCAAAAATGGGTATATATTTGAATCTTTATACTCCCGTGATGATGAAACAACGGATCATATGATATTGACGATTGCCTATTCTGATTCGTCATCGGAAAAAGAATACAACTCAGACTCAGACTATTCAGAAGGATATTCTACTTGATAGGGGTAAAGTTTACAAAATAGAAAATTAAAGATGTGTAATTTAGTGATTCTCTCCTATATAGAAATCTCCTTGGCCTCCTAAAAGGTCAAAGGTTCAAACCTCATCAAATGTGAAGATGGTATGTAAGTTTATTTGTTCTATTTATTGTATTTAAATAACTTCCGGAGTTGAATTTAGGGTTTTAAGTGAAAGGACTTTTGGGTTAAAAGTTGGAATAAACCACCATGTGTACGTACATATATAGAGAGAGGTTCATACGAAACCAATAATCAAATAAGAGAATAAAATCATTTTGATTCGTGCGGTTTCTAATTTCATTGTAAATAATTAACAAACAATTATATTTCAAATTTTGCATTATATCATGAGAGTCTATTAACCATTTTGTACCAAAACATTCATTAACTACTCAAATTTGTGGAACCAAAACCATGATCAATGATCAATGATCACCCATCTGTATTTGCTTTAACTCATCTTCTACCAACATTAATGTCATCTATTAAATGCTTCATCTTTATAAACAAACCTTTCTTCCCCAAATCTATTACAAATCCTTAATGGGAAGAAAGTCGTTTTTCATGGATTCCATAACCACAATTCCGCCATGGACGCCGTTGCTGCTTTCATTGGTGGCGGCGATTCTCATCTCATCCGGCGAAGCTCAAGATTCCACCACTTTAGTTCCGGCCATCTTTGCTTTCGGTGATTCCGCCGTCGATGTGGGTAACAACGATTACCTTCCCACCATTTTTAAAGCTAATTACCCACCGTACGGCCGTGATTTCGTCAACCACCAGCCCACCGGAAGATTCTGCAACGGCAAACTTGCCACCGATATCACTGGTAGAAACTCGAAACATACGATAAAAATTTATGTATTTTTATGATTTGATAATGAAGTAAATGTTTGGAATGGTAATGCAGCTGATACACTCGGTTTCACGACGTACCCGCCGGCGTATCTCAGTCCGGAGGCCACCGGAAAGAATCTTCTGATCGGAGCTAATTTTGCATCTGCTGGATCTGGTTATGATGATAAAACCGCCATTGGAAGCGTAAAAGAACAAACTTTTCAACTTAATTACACTCTTAATTAGTACCGGATATGGGTTGGGTTGATCGGGTTGAATTTTTTTTTTGGGTCTTTTTGGGGTGGGTTGGTCAGTTTTGTGAGCACTTTTACTCTTGATTGGTGTTAATTATCGTAATAAAGAGGCTGCTTGCATATTAAGTCACTACCATACAGTCATATATAGTTGATCGAATAAGTTGTGGGTCTTGTTAAACTCGTTAAGCTGCTAACAAAGAGATTAAACCCTGACTCATGGTTAATTTAATTTGCAGCATGCTATTCCATTATCGCAACAGCTTCAATACTACAAAGAGTACCAAACCAAGCTACAGCAGGTCGCCGGAAGTGGCAAAGCAGCCTCCATAATTAAGGATGCTTTATACTTGATCAGCGCCGGTAACAGCGATTTCGTTCAGAACTATTACGTCAATCCCTTCGTTAACAAAGTCTACACTCCTGATCAGTACGGATCATATCTCGTCGGTATCTTTTCAAGCTTCATTAAGGTACTTGAGAGCTGTTTGGTTGGTTTTTTACCGCTGTCTGTGTGGATTAATCTGTTTATATGGATTAAAAAGGTTTTTGTTTGGACGGATTCTTTCATAGATGAAAGAAGCGTGTTTTTAATTCGGAAGGACATGTTTGGGAAAAACTTTGCTTTTCAACCCCTAAAAGCTTATTGAATAAGCCACTACTAAACAATTATGTATAACTGACCAAATAAGCAATTTTCTATGTTATTAAGCCACTACTAAACAGTCAAGCTGCTAACAAAAAGGCCCTTAATTTCCGATGAAACAGGATTTGCACGGATTAGGAGCAAGGAGAATCGGGGTGACTTCACTTCCGCCGTTGGGGTGTTTGCCGGCGGTCCGAACGTTGTTCGGATACCATGAAAAGGGATGTGTAGCCAAGATGAACACAGATGCTCAAGCTTTCAACAAGAAAGTGAATGCAGCTGCAACCCAATTAGGAAAGGAACTCCCCGGTCTCAAGATCGCTATTTTCGACATATTTCAACCGCTCTACGATCTCGTAAAAGACCCTTCATCTCATGGTACCATCTCTTACAACTCTGTTTCCCAACCAAACTACAATCTAACTGAAAATTTCACTTAAAGATTCCAACTTTTCGAATCTTTATACTAAAAACTACGATCTGAACGAAATTTCCGTTTAAAGATCCAAACTTTGAACAAGAAATTACTGGGTTTGAATCTTTATGGTAAACACTATGTGTCTTTAACATTAACAGTTGATGTTTTCGTGTTTTTCGTTAAGGTTTTGTGGAGGCTACAAGAGGGTGTTGTGGAACAGGAAGGGTAGAAACAACAGTACTGTTATGCAATCCGAAATCGATAGGGACGTGCAGCAATGCGACTCAGTTCGTGTTTTGGGACAGTGTTCATCCGTCTGAAGCTGCTAATCAAGTTCTTGCAGATGCCTTAATCCTTCAGGGAATTTCCCTTATTGGTTAAGCCCATCACCATCACTCTTGTCTTAACTTTGTATACTTCATGTACACAAATGTTTCTATATCCTAAAAAGGGTCACCCAGTTTCCATCACTACCCACTACTGTTTTTCTGTTTATGTGAATTCAGACACATGTAAAAGACCTTTCCAAGATTTATAAGACTGTATTCAGACATCCCAGATTCAATATTAAGCACATTACAGTTCACTGTTTTTGTTTTGCATATCTTCAATTCAAGAAATCTTGAGACTGGTTATATAGTAAACAGAACTGCTAATCATGATCAAGAAATCTTGAGATTGATTTCTATGGGTGCTAATCTGAATTAGTAGGAGACTCGTCTTTTGAAGCTCCGTCATGATCATCATCCGAAACGTTTGCTTCATTTGCTGCTATATCATCCTTCTGGACTTCCGTTTCGAACTTCTTCTCCAATTTCGGTATCTTCTGTAATCCAAACCTGATAACCGGATTCTGCCAGTTCAAGTTGTAGAACGGAAATCTAGCCGTTGATGCGATATTGTAAGGGAATCGGAATGGATCCCGGAAGGCATAAAGGGCCTGCAATCGTTTTTCGCATTCTTCTTTACTTAAAGCCACAGACACTTGCATATACTTTCCATGGTAACAGAATCCTGCCAAGACCAACCAAGATCAAGTTACGGATAGTAAATATATAGCCTCAGCCACTGAGTCAACTCTGAAGACGGGTCCCACGTGGGGTCGGTCAGGATTGCCGGTAACCAACCTTTTGGTCAAATATAAAATAAGAAAGACTTGTGATCATGTGAGAACAATCTGTTTTCGTGAGACCCGTGAGACCACCCAAAATAAAACCGAACCTTCACACTGTTTTCGTTGTGAAGGTCTAGAGTTTGTTTTTTACCTTCATAGTGTTTTGCTATGAAGTTTCAGTATTATTTTGTGGTCTCACGGATCTCAAGAACCGAACCCAAGGAAGACATAAACAAGATGTAAATTAATTAATCACCGTTAAGAAAGTCCATAGCTTTCTTTGCTTCTTGTGGTTTAGAGAAGCATACGTAGCCGATTCCTTTGCTAATTCCGTTCTTATAACACATCACTTTCGCGAAAGTAACACGACCGAAAGCACCAAAAACTTTCTTGAGATTTTCGGCATTTACAGACATTGCAAGATTTCTGATGAACAGATTTGAGGCATTACGGTTCTGTTTCGAACCCGTTTTTCGTTGTAAGAACACATCCCTTTCGGCTTTCATCATCGCCTTTCCAACAAACCATTTCTTGGAACCTGGTTTCATTCACATATTAACCGTGAAAAATCCTTCTAAAAACCAAGAAAACTTGCATAAACACGCCATAGTTTTATGTTCTTACCGATTTCTGCGCCATTTAGACCCTCGATCGCCATCTTGGCATCATCGTGCAACTCAAAGTTCACGAACCCGTACCCTCTTGATTTCCCTTCAGTATCATGCACAATCACAGCACTCGTAACCTTCCCATATTCCGAAAACTTTTCTTTCAACGAACTCTCGCTAAAATCCTCATCAAGATTCTTCACATACACATTCGTAAACTCGGGTTCCTTCCTCTCACTTTTCTTTACAAACTTATCAACAGTCCTAAACAAGAAAACATTAAAAACACATCAAGAAATCAAAGAGATATCGACAACAAGATCGATAACCCAACCACAAGGGTTGTGACCATTGAATTTATCACAACTGATTTCTTGCGACCACCGTACACAACAATTATGACCACTGAGTTTATCATGACAGACTTTTTGCGGTCACAATTTGTCGGGATCAGTACAGGAGGGATACCCTTAAAAAAAGATCGAAAACCCGCAAAGGTACTTGAATTATAAACACATATCAAGATCAAATTCAAACTTACAAAATTTTCCCATCAAGTTTAGAGCCATTTAACCCACAGAGAGCTTCTTTAGCTGATTCCTCTGAATCAAACTGAACAAATCCAAACCCTTTGCTATTTCCATAACAATCTTTAGCAATTTTACAAGAAAGAATCCTCCCAAATACCCCAAATACTTCTTCCAATCGAGTCTCATGAACTGATGAATCAAGATTCTTCACAAACAGATTACCGATTCCAGTTTTTCTCTGAATTGGGTCCTTCTGACACCACATTATCCTAATCGCTTTCCCTCTTATTTCGGTATGATTCAGACGACACAAAGCATCAGCAGCTGTTAAGCAAGAATTCAACAAAATTAAGAACACCCAGAAAAGAATGCAATAAAATTAAGAACAGAAAGTGGGTAAATTTGCGGACCGTGAACTGGGAAGCAGAAATTGATGTAGGCATAGCAAAGCGATTTGCGAGAGAGACGATCTCTGCAGAGATGAATGTTCTGTAGTGGTCCGATTATGGAAAAGAGGATGTAGAGTTCGGGTTCGGTGACGTCTGGATGGAGGTCGCCGGCGTAGAGTGAAAAGGGGTGATTAATGTGAAGTGGTAACGGCGGAGATGGTGGTGGTGGTGGTGGTGGTGGTGGGGTGGGAAGAACGATGTATTTCGCCATTATTGCAAAGAAAAGAAGAACGATGAAACGAAAGAAACCTAACCCACAATAGGAACGATCTTTCTGAAGCTGAAAACAGCAATCTTTGATGTATATACGTATAGCCTATACGTATAGAGAGAGAGAGAGAGTGAGAGTCTGTTAAGTCTGTTTATGGGAAGGAATTCTCTCTCTTTATAGAGATTGTACGGCCAATGATCATATGTACGAATTGCAGATGATCAAAACGGCGGTGTTTCGCCGATTATTCGTGGATATGGTCGTATATTATTGGGTCATGATCAGCGGGTTGATTGTTACTTTCTGAATCGTTAGCAGCTGAATTTTGTTTGGTAAAAAAAGTTTGTCTTTTAATAATTTTAAAATTTTTTGAAAGATTTTGTATCTGGACCTCTTTTAATCATTAAAAACCTTAATTTCATTGCAAATAATTACCAAATAATTATATTTCACTTTGCATTATATCATGAAAGTCTTTTAATCATTTTGACCACTTAATGATTATGTACAAAACCATTCAACAACTGCCTAACAGTCTCTAATTAAATCCTTTTTTTTGTTATGATTATCCCTTTTACAAAGGTTTATCGCATTATCTGTTTATTTATGTAAACAACTAAACAGAACATGGATCATTATTTTACTGAACATGATAGAACAGATAAAATAAAAATCAGAATTACATGTGGGACATGACTTTTGTATGGAATAAACAGAACATAATGAACAAAATATTTCAAACGTATCCAACGCTTATCCTTATAATAAGGTGGAAAAAAAAAACTATATTTTATCAATATACTTTCAAAATAAACTTAATTCATTTGTAGAACATTAAATAAGGGACTGTTTACCAAACACTTATCCGGTAAATACTTATCGGTAAAATTTAACATTGTTATTTACTTATCGGATAAGATTTTAGTCCACCAAAACAATATCGTATGCAACAATTTACCCGGTAAGCGTTTACCGTAATAAGAGTCGTCGCCCTCACTTACCGGGTAAGACTCTTGGTCCTTGTCTCGCTCTTACACGGTAAGATTTTTGATCCTTACCATATTCAACCGGTAAGGTAAAATAACTTGGTGTTCACTTACCCGAGTAAGCGTTTGGTAAACGGCCCCTAAGTCTCTATCTTTACATTTTATCTAATTTTTAAATTTTATTTGTTGTATTTTATTTTCTTTTTTATTTTGATTTTATTGTCTCAACATATTGTTTTTATATGTTGGTTAATTTATGTAATTTATAAATATTAATAGTCTATACTATATTATAAAATATTTGATAAAAACTCTTAAAAACTATTTTTTTTTATGTATGAAGTATTGTTTATTGATGCATATTACTTAAAATTCAATATTATGTAAGTACAATTTATTAAAGCTCTATTTTTTAATTTGTGTAATTAACCGCAGTTAAACATAATCAAATACATGATAAACATCTTATTTTAAATATAAAATATAACTATGATAATCATTGAGTTCTAACAAAAATACTTAATCATTTTCCTTATAAAAATTATATTATTAAACAAAAATGAATTACTTTGTTATTAAGTGTAAATCAAATTATAATAAAAAAATTAATTTAAAAAAATACATAAAAGACAAGAACTTTTAAATAGTTAATTTGATACTAATATTGATATATTTATTTTCGAATTTTTATGACACTTTCAAATTTATATTTTATTCAAAAATAAAAACATTACCCTTTTTTCAAAACCACATAAAAACCGTATTATAGCATCTACATAGACAGAATAAAACGAAACATTAAAATCGAGATATATCTTGTTGCATTGTGCGGATATCATTCTAATATATATATATATATATATATATATATATATATATAGNTACACATAAAACGATATCTTTTAAATAGTTAATTTAATAATAATATTGATATATTTTTTTCAAATTTATATTTCATTTAAAAATAAAAATATTATTGTTTTCTAAAAAAACTATATAAAAACGTATTATATCGACGGAGAAAATGAATTAAATGAAATACTAAAATCGAGATATATTTCGCTATATTATGCGGGTACCCTTCTAGTAAAATATAATGTATAAAATAAAAATTGAAAATTAATAAAAGTTCATAATTTGTGTCATTTTAATCATGTTGACGAAGACTTTTTTATGTTATATTTTGTTATAAAAAAATTTTTATTTTAATATAATTTAATAAATTACATAAAATAATCAAAATCTATTTAAAAAAAATTAAACAACTCGTTAGGAGTAAATTGCTCATTTTACCGATTATGTCATGTCTTACCAAACGTTTAACAGTTGTTTTGTTGTGTTTGGATACCATATGCACCCTAGAAGCCACAGTGGATCACGACGTTTTTCAAGGTCCCGTAATTATATACATACACACACACACACACATATATATATATATATATATATATATTACTATTACTCTCTTAGTAACGATAATGAACAATTTAAACTACGTTATATACTAAAAACTAAACAATAAGACGCTAAAAGATAAGAAAGATCAGATATCGTGTTACAAAAACCGTACATTAAGTCATAGCGTAGTATATCAGACACGAGCCTCGAGCCACAATCGACCATGTGATTAACTTTGTATTTAGAACGATCAAAGGGAACTAAGTGAGGGAGAACTCCTATGAAACTTGAAGTTCAGAGTCGAACTACTATCTCTCAGAGCTTCTGCGTATTTCAGCAGCTCCGACTTCTTACCACACGAAGAAGACGAGCACGAACCATGACTACTGCCGCCACCACCGCCTTCTGCAATGGAATCGCTCTGTTTATAGAAACACGCATGATCACTATGCCGATGAGTTAATCTTTGAGACGACGACGATCCCCCAGTTGACGTTCTTGGCCTCTGATTCTCCGACGAACTTCCCAAATGAGTTGTTGAAATAGAATCGCTGAACGAATTCAGATCATCACCGCCCGATTCCGATCTTCCTAACGACGGATTTCTACTATGATTCCGAAGCTGGTGGTTTTGGTTCTGGTTCTGGTTCTGACTTTGTTTTCCTCTTAAAACTCTTATAAGCTTCCCAAAGAACTTATTATTGTTGTTTTTATGATGTAATGAATCGTCCACGGATGATTCATCTAATTGATCTCCGGAATCGGTGATTATTGAAGCTTGAGAGCTTGACCATTGATCAGAATCGATGTCGAGTAAATCGACACCCTTTTCGGCGCCACCTTCTTTGCTGGCGTATTCAAGGATCAGTTGTTTTGCTTTCTCTTCTGATCTTGGGCTTAATGTTTTACTGAGGTCTCGAGCGATTGTTTTACCTGGTCCCGGTTGATAATTTCGGAGCTCGTATCTTAAACATGCATTAATCCATCGAAGATAAACGAGTTCTTCAAGATCACTACATCTGTCTGCTTGGATTCTCTCGATTTCCTTCGATAAATCTTCGTTTTGTTTCTTCAAGTCTTGAGTTTCTACTTTGAGCTTTTCTGTCTGCGGATTTGACCAATAATCCGTGAGATCGAATTCGATTTCACTACAAGAATTGGGCGTTAGATATATCTAAATGTCATAATAGACTGTTTTAGAGACTTACAATTTATAAAACCGAACAAAACTGTGAGTTATATATAAATGTGTTACAATAAGTGACAAATTTGGTCCCTGTAGTTTGTCGAAAATAACACTTTTCGTTCTTGCAGTTTCAGAATTACAACGTGTCATCGTGGTTTGCAAAAACATCCGGATTTAGTCCCCTTCTCTAACGACCATTAAACGATAGGCATGTTCGTCATTTTCTCATTTTTTTTGTGTCTTGCCAAATCAAAATCGAGAAAATGATGTTGAACCCTGTGTTTTTGATTGAGTAAAAGACAAAAAAAATTGAGAACAAGACGAAAATGCCCCTCATTTAACAGAATTTTTTAGCACTAAATCTGGACGTTTTTGCAAACCACGATTACCATCTTGTAATTTCAAAAATGCAGAGACAAGAAGTGTTATATTTGACAAACCATAGAGACCAAAAATGTCAGTGTAAAAAAGTAATAGAACACTTTATTTTAAAATTGTCTTAAAACTTGTTAAGATGCCCAAAAACGTTGTGACACCTTTACATGTGACGCACAACTGTTTGGTCTCGTAAAACAGTCTATCAGGACATATAGACATAATTGGCGTCCAATAAAACTGATTTATTATAGTAAGCAGTAAGATAAACGATTGAAATATTAGAAAAAATAACGAAAGAATCGAATATCGTCTTACTTCACTATCTTCTAAGACGGATGTCGCGAGGATTTGAACACACTCTAACCTACGAGCCAAATCCGATTTTTCCAACTGCAAACTATGGTTCGATTTTCTCAATTCTTCGACTTCCGCTTCCAAACCCTTGAGTTTATCGAGGCTCGATCCGACCTCCGGATCAACCCCGACCACGTTCTTGTGTTCATCTTGCTGCATTTTCTGAACCCGTTGTTGGAAATCCATGATTTGTTTCTTGTTCTGCTCGGTTTCCGATCTAAGTTTCTTTTTCAGCATCTTTATTTTCGATCGTGCAGCTTCAAGATCCGATACAGCTTTCATATAATCGGTCATTTGTGCCTCTAATCGTCTGTTATCAGCCTGTAACGACTCGATCTTGAGAGCGAAAAGTTTAGCCTCCATGTTATTGAGTTTAAGACGGTTTTGAAGCTCCATAACCGCGGTTTCTTGCTCTTTTAGACCGTAGTATTCGAGCAATTGGATCTCCAAATCACTCTCTCTTTCTTTCAAGATCTTGACCAAGTTTCTTAAGCTTTTGATCTCTTGTTCGTGTGTATCTTTTGTTCGTTGAAGTTCGAAATCTTTAACGGGAGACACGTTGGCTTTCTTGCCGGCCGTGTTGAACTCGTTAACGAGGTCGTTAAACTCGGGTAGGAGATCGTGGGCATCTTTATCGCTGTTAGATCTTCTACTTGCCGAAAGATCAGGAGCAGGAATGTTTGAATGAGGTAACTCCTGCACCAAGATCAAAACCAAGATTCTCAAGAACAAGAATGCAAAGATTTATGTCGGAAAACCACTTGCGTGGTAGCGCACCGGTTAAGATTCAAGAGAACGGGTCTGAATCCAGGCGCTGCTAAAACCCTTGTGGCCATGGAGATTCACCTACGATGACTACAGATTGTGGTCGTCCAAAGGATTAGTCGGTATGCGTAAGCTGACCTACAAACCCACGGTTACAAAAAAAAAATTTCTTGGCAAAAGGAAAGAATTGCCCAATTTGCAAGCACATATATGGCATACATGAATTAGAGTGCCGTTTACCTAAACACTTACCCGGTAAGCGCTTAACGGTAAAATTTAACGCTATCGCTTACGTACCTGGTAAGATTTTAGTCTACCAAAACGACATCGTATGTAACAACTTGCCCAGTAAGCATTAACCATAGTAAGAGTTGTCATCATCACTACCGAGTAAGACTCTCGTTCCTTGCCTTCGCTCTTACCGCGTATGATTTTTGGTCCTTGCCATATTTATCCGGTGAGGTAATATGACTTGGTAAGCGCTTATTCGAGTAAGCATTTGGTAAACGGCCTCTTAGATAATCACAAATGTGTTTATGCCATAAAAAGACACATTTTCCTTCTCCCATTAAAACAAAATTGATTTTTTATGACATTTAAAATGTAGAAGCATCCTAAAAAAAATACTTTATAGGACTTGAGTTTATAAGATCAAACCAAAAAGCATCTTATCCAAAATTGTTACGATAGATTTATAAGATGTTTTTAAGCATTTTAACAAGTTTTTTAGGACACTTTTAAAATAAAATGTCGTATTTACTATTTTATACGACACTATTTGAAAATGTGTCATATAAACAAAAGTGTCCTATAAAAAAAAGGGTTTATAGGACACATCTAAAAAATGTAGTGTAAAATAGCTAATAGGACATTTTATTTTAAACGCGTCCTAAAAAACTTGTTAAAATGCCTAAAAGTCTCTTATAAACCTATTAACTCCTTTTGGATAAGATGTTTTATAGTTTGGTCATAAAAACCCGAGTTCTATAAAGTATTCTTTTAGGACGCTTAGACAATACAAGCGTTCTATGAAACCAATTTTGTTACAGTGACCTTTATATGGAGTCTGTAAGAATATGTGGAACTCCGTTATATTACTCTTCAAAAGAACACTTTCAATGGAGACTACTCGGGCACAAAATGTAGAGAGGGAATTAAACGAGAAAAAATTGCCCCCAAGCTATATGACGTCTGGTTTACAGAATAGAATCTATCAAAAGAATCTGGTAGTTGTTAATCAGGTTTGACCATGTGTTTGATTGACTGAAATTCTGTTGGAATCTGTATATTTGATTCTCTGGACATAACTTTAGAAATATAATTTACCAAAATACCCTTTCATAATGTTTTCATACTTATACATATTGCCTTTCTTGTATTACAATTCAAGAATCTTATATAATAAAAGCATATAAACCATATGAATGCATTCATTTTGCTGAATCATGCGAATACCGTCTTCTTTTTCTCGATTAAATTGTCGATGATTGAAACAATACGAACAACAAATTAGGGGTTGTTTGGTTGATATTCCATTAAATTATGTATGGATAAAGCTGTCCTGACAGATCAAAGAGTTTTTTCATAGATAGAATCAGGGTGTTTTTTTAACGGGATGAATTGATTGAATAAGTTGCGAGTCTCGTTAAGCTCATTAATCTAAACAAACAAAAGCTTACTTGTTTATCGGTTGCAAGAGGATCAAAGCGGAGAGAATTGGGTGCTATCTGTGATGCTTGATGATCGCTTCTCGAAACCCACGATCCCGATCCTGAGTTCATCGGATTCTTGCAATCTAAACACACATTCATCCTCAAAAACATCAACAGACGAATATCGTAAAAATCAAACAAACAAACGAACGAACAAAGCCTGAATGTTTACGATGATCTGATGGCGATTCAGAAGCTTTAATTCTTTTGTTTATCAGAAACGCATAAATAATTCCACCAAGAGACAATGCTAAAGCCACCCCAAATTTCAACAAATCTGGCCTTATATCTCTCGTTTCGATCCCCATATTTTAATCTATAAAACCCTTTTCGAATTCCACCATTAATGCCGCTTGAGGAACCTTAAAGGAAAACAGAGCATGAATTTGCTGTATTGTTCTTCATCTTCATCGTTATGATCAGCCATCGATTCATCCTAAAATCAAATTATAACCAATACCCGTTTGAGAAAAGGATCAAATTAGCAAAACCCATGATCAATTTCACATATTAATCGATATATGATGTTAATTTGAGAAAACAAAAAGGGGGGAATACGTACGGATGAGAGCTGATCCTTGAAGACGTTGGTTTTCCGGTGGAGAATCAGTTTGCCGGCGAAATGGTTGATTGACGAAATGGGGTTTCGAAACTTACATGAAACTGCAAATTGAATCAAAGATGGAGATTGAATTTCTGTTGTGTGTTTTAAATGTAGATTTTGGGTTTTTTTGTTCTCCTGAAAAACGTATGATGAGTGTGTTCGTGAAAGAATCAGATGCTCAAATCACGTTTCAAAGGTATGAAAACTTGTGATTTAAATCGAATATATACATAAAAAGGAATTTTCTTTAAAAGTAGTAGTGAAATCGATTAGTTTCGAGTACTTCGTGGAGCTTGATTTTCGGTGTTTTCGTCAAAATAATCGATGTGATAATTGTTGTTGAGAATACAAACGATCTAAGGGGATATTTATTCGTTCGTTCATAAATTCATACGTTTGTTTCAATTGTAGAAAATTATACTTTTCGTTGAAAAGGTATTCGTTTTTATCTGTAGAAAATTATGGTTATTGTTGCTTTTCTTGTGGTTGTATAATTAGACTTGACATCGTATGAGACCAGCTTGTTTTCGTGAGACTCGTGAAACCATTTTTTTTACACTTGAAACTTTACAAAGAAAACGATGTGAAGGTAACCTTTATAGTGTTTTGATGTGAAGGTTCGGCTTTTTTTTTTACCTTCACAGCGTTTTGCTGTGAAGTTTTAAGTGTAAAAAAAGTGATCTCGACCCTATATAATTATATGTATACTGGTTCCTTTATTTGTATCAAAATTAACAATGTATGCTTTTATTAAATACACTAGTATTCATGCACATTTATTTTAATATAGAGAGAGAGAGAGAGGGGAGCGATCAAATGAAAACCACTCCAATTTGTAAAAACCGTAAAAACTACTCTCATCCGCCGTAATCTTATGAAAATTTTTCATGAAATTGTTTCATATAATATTTTTTTTATGAAGTTGTTTCATATATGGTTATGAAATTATTTCATATACTACTTAATGAAACTTTAATGAAACTGTTTCATGTATTTCTCTAAAATTAAAATAACGAAGATGATAATATCCACGATTAACATCCTCCACAATAAAAATGATTAATCAACCTCTTATAATTATAAAAATATGAACAAAATGAAAAATTATGATTGGTGGAATGAGGTTTTTACAAATTAAGTGGTTTTCATTTGATCGCTCCTATATATATATATATATATATATATATATATACACACACACACACACACAAGAGGAAGCTGAAGTCTGCAAAAATAAAGAAGTTGAAAACGAGATGGACATGTTGTCGTCGTACACATGTTGGACAATATAACGAATGAGTTTTCCGGAGCAACGTTAGATTTTGCGCCTATTACAAATAAATTAAAAGATGGAAGATTACAGTGGTCTGAGCATACTGCGACTTGCGGTTTTGAGGGAGGGGGAGAGGGCGGGGGTGGACAGAGTAATGGTTGGGGTGAGGAGGAGGATATGAGGTGAGTTGTTGAGAACGAAGATGAAGGCATTAGGCATTTTCGAGTACATGACATTTGTCTGCAGTTTTTTGGGCAAAAAGTTATGCGAAGAAAGCACCCAAATTGAATAACATTTATCTGGTATGTTAGAGTCAAGGGATTTGTTCACAGTACCTTGTTTAACGAGGTTCAGTGTTTTAATTTGTTTAGCTTACTGTTTTTATTGAATTTGTTTTTCTACCATTATCGTTTAATGTCGTCGTTAACTCTTGTACACTCTTTTTCTAGTAACGTCCCTTTGCTTTATGCTCCAAAATGTGTTTTGGAATTTCGTAACTTAAAGATGTTTAGTACGAGAGGATTTTTCATGTGTGAGCCAAAGAAGGAAGGCGGTGACAGAAGGCTGACAGGTATCTAGTGAGACTGACAATAATCGGTGACAGGAAATTTGGGAGGAACAAGACAAACAGAGGAGGAGGAGAAGTAAATCGATGAAGGGTATTAAGGGAAAAAAGATATTGGCTTAATGGATATGACTCTACATTATGATTATGAGTTGACTCAAATTAGCCATTTGCCGAACTAATATGTATAGCTTAACCACATAAGCCATGCATGTCATACAATCCATTAAGTCATCACCAAATAATGCAACGTTAAGGAGCCGTTTATCAAACACTTAGGGCCCGTTTATCCAATTGCTTATCCGGTAAACGTTTATCGACAAGTTTCAACACTATGATTTATTTTGATGCGTAAGATTTTAGTATAATAAAACATATCGAATGCAACAATTTAGTGGGTAAGATTCATCATCCTCACTTACCAGGTAAGACTTTTCATCATTCTCATCGCTCTTACCCAGTAAGATTGTTGACCCTTCTCATGTTCATCCGATAAGAAAATTTATCCGATAAATACTTACCAAGTAAGTGTTTAGTAAACTACCTTTACTCGGTAAGTACTTATCGGTAAAATTTAAATTATGATTTTCATCCCTATAATTAAAAATTACATATTTTGTCCTTGTAATTTACAATTTATTGCAATTTTCATCAAAATGATTTACAATTCATGAGATTTCGTTATTTTCCTTTTTGAAATTCGCGCCTCTTATTTCCTACGATCCTTCATGGATTCATCCCATAAACCCTAAAAATCTCAATTACCCCCAATTCCGCCTAAAACCCCATTTTTTTTGTTTCCTGTTCACATACTGGTAACAGAGATGCGAGCATTTCAAACCCTAAACTCTCGTACTCACTTTATTGATCTAATCACCACAAAACATCCCCAATTCCACAAAATCTATAGAGGTTTTCACTCCACTAATCATCTTTTCATCGAAGAATCATCCACAGTCTCTACTATTTACGATCCCGTTAGTAACCGTCTTGTGACTACGCGAGTAGCAAATTCAAAACCCTCGGAAGGGGAATCCGATAAAGACGCTTATAGATCGTCTAATTCCGATTATGTCGATGCTCTGAAAGACGACAGATCTTACGGGAGTGTTTTGAAGGCGAACCAGGGTTTTGGTGTTGTTAGCAAGAAGAAGAGTAAAAGCAAGAGTACTTGGGTTTGTTCTGAATGTGGATACACAGATGGACAGTGGTGGGGATACTGCCGTGAATGTAGAAATGTTAATACAATGAAGGAGTTCACAGAAAGTGATAATGGAGGAAAGACGACTGGATTCCAAGTGTCTGAAAAAATAGTGAAATCGTGGTTACCAAAAGGGTCGGGAGATGCTGTTCCGATGAGGTTAACGGATGTCAACAGAGGGATCAACCAGTCGGATTGGCGATTTCATTTGTAAGTTTACTCATCTTTTAGCAGGGAGTAGTAACTTCATTCATTCAACTGTTATGTGTCCAAGAATTTGTTGTTAAAAGATGATGTTTTATGAGGCTGCAAACTATCAAATTGCCAACAATGTTGAACAATGGCTGCCTATATTTGAAGGATTAAAAGATTGTAGTACAGAGAATTGGTGAATGCCAACTTAAAAATGGAGGTTATCAAGCTGCTAATAGATGTTTCAGAAAACCAAAGTAGGTTTAAGTTAGAAACTTTGGGTTTGGGTGATATTTCAATCAAATTAGACTTGGATCGAATGAAGGATTGTACCAAACACTTCCTAAAGTAATTTTTCGCTCCTTTCACAGCCTTGGTTGACATGAAATTCACTTTTGGATAATCCAACTATAGTTTCTAGGCAAAAACAAGAGTAAAATAAGCAGAATCCCGTTATGTTTCATATGCCATCTTTTGAGACCAGATCTTAAAAAATTAGAATTTAATTGACACTTATTTCGGCGGGGAGGTAAGTTATATTGGTGCTAAAATATTTACCAACTACCAAGAGTGAAAAACGGTTGCTCCAGATGATTGATGACACTAAAATCACCTTGATCCCCCACTTTATCGCAATCCTATGAGTGTGCTCTTCTCACCTCCTAACTTGTATTATAGCTTAACCAAAACCACTTCGATCTCATGTAAATCAGAATTACAACAAATGATTGATGACACTAAAATCACCAACAGGTTAGTGGCAATATCATGTCTTTCTGGTTGGCACAAGCGACCAACTGTTCAGTTTTCGTCATTGTTATCTCCTGTGATTTGGTTTTGTGGTATTTTGATGTTAAACGTCCTATTTGAATCTTTTCCTTTGCAAATGGTTGGTAGTTTCACTTCTCTTTGCCAATTGTTATAGTTTTCACAGTAACAAATCGTTGATTATATGATTTATATGTATAAGTTTTGCTTGTTATTCAGGTCTGGGCTATTTGGAACTGAAGTTTCTAGGGTTCTTGGCGGTGGTCTCGTACCAGGTAGACTTGCCTTGCAACGGCATTTATCATCTGAAATCTGATACTTTTGTAGTTGGTATGAAGTGCAAATGCCTTTTTGATTTAGTTCTTGTGTCACCTTTCTTTAGAGCATCTCCAACGAATTCTCTATAATATCTCCAAAATGGTGAAGCAAAAGTTAAAATGTCCAAAAAGTTACACTTGACTCCGATAGTTTCTCCATTTTTATAGATTTCAACATTAGTTATATCATTAAAATGAAATGATAATACCATCAACTTCATTGGTGGGAACAATAAAAATACAGTTTCTCTCCCTTCAGCCTTTAATATCAGAGAGTTCTCCAAATCTGGAGATTTTTATCCTTTCTCTTCTTTGTAGAATCTGCTGCCATTTTGGAGAACTTGATGCTCTTACATGCTCTAGATTGAAGTTTAATGTGCTTTTTTGCTACCGATTTTCATATTCACCTATAGAATTCTGGTTACTTGAGGCGAAGGTGGAGCCAGCTTTGGCCCACCCTCATTTGCAAATCTTTTATTTATTTAAATAAGGTTCAAATTTGTTTATCTTTTAATTTCTTTCATGGCCCACCCTTAGAAGCTATCAAAGAGCCAACCAAAGGACATGTGTTTGGATATCCAGGTTAATAAAAAAAAAAAAAAGGACCTGTGTTTCCTTTCGTGAACTTTGCAATGAATATAATTTTTTTTATTAACTTGGATATCCAACCCGTTATGCGAGCCGACTAATCCCAGGATGACCACCTGCTTTGCAGATAGCCCGGAGTCACCGCATTTGAACCTTCGTGGCCGCAAGGGGATTTTTATTTCTCCTTGGATTTGAACCTGGGACCTCCTAATACTTTTGACCTTTGGAGCCAAGCTCAAACCAATCAGGCACCACCCTTGTGGTTACAATGAATATAATTTCATTATATATATTGGGAGGTCCAGGGGAAAACCCCCCAAAAAATGAAAAACCGAGGAAAACTCTGATAACCATTCATCTGTACGATATGCACACGTGCATACAAGTAATTGAAGTTGTTTCTTGGTTTACAAATTACTTGTATGCACATGTGCATACTTCCAGAGGAATGGTTACCAGGATGTTTCCCAGTTTTCACTTTTTGGTGGTTTTCCCCAAAATCTGACCCTATATATACATATATATGTGTGTGTGTATATATAAGATTTCAAATACAAACCATGTAATTCTTTCAAACAGTATAAGTCAATATTAAATGTTCATCAAGTCTAATAAATATCGGGTTCCATAAATATCTCGACTGCTTCCTAATCTAAAGCCATGATATAATGGATGTACCTTATCATCTTTCATAAATGTCTCGGTAATAATGAATCAATCATGATTATTGTCCATAAATATCTCGATTGTTTTCTAATATAAGTGTTGGTTATGGTTTGTAAGAATTACATGGTTTGTATTTGAAACCTCCTATATATATATTTGTCTTATTAAAGAGGACCATCCTGGACAAAATTCCTAGCTCTGCCCTTGACTTGAAGCAATGTTTTTAAACCTGTATTTTGTGATGGTGATTTTTTGCATTTGCAGGTTCTTTGGTTTTGATTGGTGGTGATCCAGGTGTCGGAAAGAGCACATTAATGTTACAGGTATTGGCTAGACATCCTCATAATCTTGACTTTATGTATAAACTTGTAATTTCTCTGCTTAGGGAAGTGTTTTCTCGTTCCATCTTTGAGATAGTTTTTTCTACTACGAGAATATAACTGTGGCTAATTTGAATACTGAAAACATGCAAGATAGCAGCAATTATAGCTGAAGGGAAAGAAATCGGTAAACCGGCTCCTGTGCTATATGTCTCAGGTGAAGAGGTCAGTACTATTTCATCATATAACGAGCTAATTAGTCTTTCAATCTACAATTTTTGTTTGCTGGCGATCTAATTCACAGCCTCACTAATTACCCATCTCATGCATTGACCCAACTGAAGTTTCTGTAGATTTAGGGTCTGTTTGTTATCAGCTTAATGAGCTTAATGGGATTCACAGCTTATTCCATCAGCAATACATGACTGTGTGGTAGTTGCTTAATGATATAGAAGTGGCTTATTCAGTAACCTTCTAGGGGAGAGCTTTATGCAGAAAGCGAAGTTTTTTCCAAACCTGTCTTTCCCAATTAAAAAACAAGCTCCTTCCATCTATGAAAAAGGTCTCCCAAACAAAAACCTTCTCAATCTATACAGACAGATTAATCCATACAGACAGCTTTATCCATACAGGACTTAATGGAAAACCAACCAAACAGTCCCTTAGACTTGTTTCAAGAATCATTGAAATCGTTTTTCTTCTCTACACTTAGTACTCTGAAGCTTCCAGAATTATCTGCTGTACTATGATTGCCGTTTTGATTTTTTGCTTCCGAAAAGTAGTCATTTTTCCATTCTGCATGGGAAATATAAGTAGATTTCTATCTAATGGGATGTTTGGTATTTATTTTTCATTAATCTATATATGTGTTAAGGTCTCTGTAAGCATTAATCTTTCTGTTTGAATTAATATACATTGTTCTTTGTATTTTGTCCTGGATAAGTAGTCCGAATAACAGAAATTACCATTTTAACCTTCAGTCTATGTAAGTGGAATGGAAATTAATTGTTTGATATATCTTCTGAATGACAAAAAAATAAAATTTGTATGAATTATATATATAATTTAAATTCAACTAGTTCATTACACAATACTTAATAACTTAAAATGTATTTAAAACAATTAAGCATTATTGTTTGATTATTTACATATTTAATTTATGCATTTGTTAGTAGATTATTTTTTTTCTATTGAGATATGGATTAAGGGGCTGTTTGGCAGTTGCTGAATGATTTAGTGCAGAATAGTTAAGAGGTCAGAATGGTTAAGTGCTGAATGAAATAATGTTGTTTGGTAACTGTTCTCTGAATGATAATAAATTACCATTTTAACCCTGTTAGATGTATCATCATGATTTCACAACAAGTTATCCAGCGACATTTTCATCCAACTTCTCATTTTCATCCAACTTCTCATCTTCTTCAAAACACTCGTCTAACAAATTTCTTTTCATACACACGATCATCATCATCATCTTCTTCATCGTTATCATTCTTTTCCTTCAAAAATTCCCCTTCGTCGTTTGCATCACCAACAGCATCCAAAAACTCCTTTCTCAACAACTCCTGCTCTTCAAAATAACTCTTTGACAAGATCCTCCTCGTCTTCAGATGACTCATCGTCTTCATCGCTATCAATATCGGAATCGATTATACCTTTCTTCTTGTTGTGCTCGTACCGCTTCGCAAACTCTTCGTTGATTTCGATTTTGGATATGTCGCCGACTCCGCCATCGGAATCGGAGCCGCCGTCGTCAAATAATTTCATCCCCATTCTTTCTATGCTATGAATCGTCCGACAACTGAGGCTACTGAAAGTGAAGCTACTGTTAACCCTACTGTTAACTATATTCGGCGACCAAAATCATCCAAAACAGAAGATAGATGAAAGATTGGAGACAGAAGATACCTGATGGAGGCGAGCGGCAAAGCTGTGGAAGGCGACCAGCGATGGAGACGGTGGAGGTCACCGGCGATGGAGACTCGGGAGGCGACAACCGGCTGACCTGGGGAAGGGGACGAGTTCTCGTGAAGGCGACGTTAAGAGGGAATGCAACGGCTGGAAGAGTGATGTGGAAGGGTAAAGAGGGAATAAATCCAATCTGAATGGTTTAGTGAAGTAGTAGATGCAAAATGGTTAAGAGGTTATTGTAACCATTAAGAGGGTTGTTTTTTTTTTGCCAAACAGACCTAACCTCTTACCGATTAAGAGGTTGGCTCTTAATGCAAACAGCCCCTGAATATTGTAGGGAAAGGGTAATTTTGGGAAAAAAATCCTAACTTAATGCACTAAGATAGGGTGTGTTGGCTTACCATGTTAACTCAGTCTCTTAGTATTAAGTTAAAATCAAACATATTAATATAGCTTAATCAATTAAGCTAAAACACCCTTTAAGCTATAAGGTTGAAATCAAATACTCCCTAAAGCATACTAGTTTCATAGAAAAGGTAGCAATCTACTTTCACCATCGATGTTGCTTCATTGAAGCTATAGAAACTTGATTTAACAAGCTTTTGATGCAGAGTGTCGAACAAATTGGAAACAGAGCAGATCGTATGGAAATCAGCGCAGAGGAATTGTTCTTATATTCAAGTACTGACATTGAGGTGCGTGTTTTGAAATATGTATGATTTAATAAAGGTTGTGTTTGGTATCCGGACATGATAGAACAAAACAGTTTAGCGTTTGGTAAGACAAAACTGGACAAGACAAAATAGATAAAGTGACCAATTTACCCCTGATGAGTAGTTTATATATTTTTATACTTTTTGATTAATTTATGTAATTTATTAAATTATAGTAAAATAAATATTTTTTATAACAAAGTATGAAAATATATCATTAGAAAGTTTCCGTCAAGACGATTAAAATGACACAAAAATAAAAAACTTTATGTAGTTTTTTGATTTTTATTTTATACCTTTTCTATATTATTTTATTATTATAAATATTTAATAAGTTACATAAATAATCAAAAAGAAATCGTATAAAAATAATACTTTGAGGACATTAAAGTGAGTTTAAAGAGCATAAATTACAATAAATAAAATTTAAAAAATGAATAGAATGTAAAGAGGGAGGCGTATTTGATGTTTTAGAAGAGAATTAGGTTTTCTTTTGAGGTTATATTGGTAAAATACATGTTCCACCTTGTTCCACGGGGTAGGGGTGGAACAGGCCTGTTCAACTTTGTTCTGGTCTATTCCACATAAAAGTCCCGCCAAACGTGGAACAGTGGTCCCTGTTCCACATAAAACTTTGTTTGACATATACTATTCATATTTCATACATGATGGAAGTCCATTTCATCGTTTCTTTCAGGACATTCTGCAAAAGGCTCAGGTTCTTTCACCTCGTGCACTAATCATTGATTCCATCCAGACTGTTCATCTGATGGGCGTTACTGGAAGCGCCGGAGGTATTTACCAGGTTAGCTTTTCTATTTTATTAAATAATACTCTTGAAAGTGTCTATCTGTTAGATATGATTGATGGAGTGGAGCTTTATACTTCTAACGTGATCACAAATGTTTACTGACGGGGATGTTTTACAGATTAAAGAATGCACAGCAGCCTTGCTGCGTTTCGCTAAGAAGACAAACATACCTGTATTCTTGGTGAGTATAAAGTATAAGCTATTTGGACATCCTTCTATTAGATCTCAGCGTGCATTTGGTACGTAGATATGACTGGACGGAATGGGATGGAAGAGGATAGAAATAGTTGAGTGAAAGAATTCTGGAATGTTTCAAGGCTTTATTGGACGTGGGTAGTTTAGTAATTTACCAATCTTGTCCCATCTCTTTAATTATATTGGGACAAAAAACCTGCATTTTTGTCCCACTCAGTGATGTCTTGTCTGATTGTGGCATCAAACATGGGAGTTGGGACGAGTCTTGTCCTGTCCCCATCTTGCTCTGTGTACCACCGGACATGACAGAAGTCAGAACACAACAGGAGTCACTTTTCAATGTTTGGTAGGACTTTTATGTGGAACAGGCGTGTTCCACCCGGACCCCATGGAACAAGGTGGAACAGACTTATATTTGACCAATATAACCTCCAAATAAAACCTAATTTTTCTTCTAAAACATCAAATATGCCTCCCTCTTTACATTTTATTCATTCTTTAAATTTTATTTATTGTATTTTATGCTCTTTAAACTTTCACTTTAATGTTCTCAAAATATTATTTTTAATTTTTTGTATGGTTTCTATGTTTTGGTTAACTTATGTAATTTATTAGATATTAATAATAATTTTTTTTAGAAAAAGGTATTAACTAAAAAGTAAAAATGGGAAACTACATAGACCTTTTATTTTGGTGTCATTTTAATCATCTTCACGAAAACTTTCTAATGATATATTTTGTTATAAAAAATATTTATTTTTATTATAATTTAGTAAATTACATAAATTAATCAAAATATAGAAACAACTCTAGAAGTAAATCGGTCATTTTATTTGTCTTGTCCAGTTCTGTCTTATCAAACGCTGGACAACTGTCCAACGCAGTCAAATCTTTGGAAAACTTTGGTGTGACATTTTTAAATGTATACTATGATGAACTCTGTCGAATCTTTTCGGATTTGTGCCAGATCGGCCATGTAACGAAGTCGGGAGACATAGCTGGACCTCGTGCGTTGGAGCATATCGTTGATGCAGTTTTATATATGGAAGTTGGTACTCCTCTTTATATTTATTGGGTAGTATATTTTGGTGGTATATAAATGATTTTGATTTCTTTCTAATGTCAATTTCTAAAATCGATCATTGCTCAAATATTTTAGGGCTTGTTTGTTAGCAACTTAATAAGCTTAATGAGACTCACAACTTATTCGGTTAGCTATATATAACTGTTTGGTAGTGGCTTAATGATATAAAAGCGGCTTATTCAGTAAGCTTCTAGGGGTAGCTTTATGCACAGAGCCAAGTTTTTTTTTCAAATATGTCCTCCCAAATAAAGAACACGCTTAGTTCATCTATGAAAAAACCCTCCCAAAGAAAAATCTTTCCAATTTATACGAACAGATTAATTCACACGGACAGCTTTATTCATACTTGACTTGATGAAAAACCAACCAAATATCCCTTTACTGATTGTAGATCAATTTTTTTTGATATACTATTGTTTTAAGATGCCAATATCAACTCGAGCAATTAGTCATTTAATGTTTATTTCGTTATTTATATTCAGGGGGAGCAGTATTCATCTCATCGTCTGCTTCGTGCATTTAAGAATCGTTTTGGCTCCACCGATGAGGTATTGGTCATGTTGATTATATGTTTTTCTTTTTAATCTTGGAATCACGTTAATTTTCGTATGTGCTCGTAGACCCGATCCCGATCTTTTTTGTGATTGAAAGGATCATTCGATTACTTTCTATTTCAGCTTGGAGTGTTTGAAATGTCTCCATGTGGATTAAAAGCCGTCACAAATCCTAGCGAGATTTTTTTAAGCGAGGAACGCTCGGATTCGGAATTCCTGGCAGGTCTTGCAATTGCTGTGATTATGGATGGATCTCGAACATTTGTCATTGAAATTCAGGTTCTTTTTTACTTCATCTATAAGTCTGCTTTCTTCTTTTCTGTTCTAAACTCAAGGAGGATTCTGACTATTTAGTCAAATATCTGAAATAACCTTTGATTATAACTTTTTTCCCCTCAAAAATGAACATTTTACGTATATTTTGGGGCTCGTGACATGAGAGATTGCTTTGCAGGCACTATGTGCACCCGGGTCCTCACTTTCACGGCAAGTGAACGGGGTTCAAGCAGGGAGAGCTGATATGATTATATCAGTAAGTCATCATCAAATGTTCTTTGTCAAATATAGTGTGAATTAAAACAAATTTATTAGTACTTATCGAGATTTTACGTTTATAGGACCTAGAATTATGTGTAATGTATATTGACGTTACAATAGGTTAGGACGAAGCTAGGCAGCCTATTAGGACACAAAATAAATCGTCTTATTAGCCTTTTTATATCTCACTTTCTAAAAGTGGCATATTAAAAAGTTCTATAAAAGGAAAAAGTCCAAAAAAACCCGATGAAGTTTCCTATATGAATGATTAAGTCCCTGATATTTTTTTTTGAATGAATAAACCATTGAAGTTTTTCTGTTTGAATAAGTTCATGAACTTTCTTTTTTGAATAAATAAACTATCGAGTAAATTATGTTTTTCGTCCCTGTGGTTTGTTAAAATATAATTTTCGTCCATGTGGTTTAGAAATTATAGTTTTTTGTTCCTATCGTTTGTAATTAATTGCTATTTTCATCCTTATGGTTTACAATTTATTGTGCTTTCGGTCCCTATGGTTTATAATTCTATATTGTTTTGATCCCTTGTACTTAAAGGAAGGGGTTAGTCCAGGGACAAAAATTGCAATAAATTGGAAACCATAGTGACAAAATCTCAATATCTAATCCAAAGGGATGGATATTGAAATTATTAACAAACCACAGGGATTAAATTGTAATTTACTCTAAACTATCGAACTTCTAAACGTTGGTTGCCTACATTCTTTTAACCTGAAAAAGCTACTTGTAAGATGCAAGGTTGTATTTATTTATTTTTCATTAGAAGGGTGTCCCAGGCTATAGCCTGGACTAATCTCGGCAAATTGTGACTGCAAGAAATCAGCTCTGATAAACTCAGCGGTCACAATTGTTGTGTACGCCTGAAATTAAACCCTGGGCAGATGGGATATTTCACCACATCCCGCAGGGCCTCAACCACTATGCCACAACCCTTATGGTTAAGACGCATAATTTGTTGGTCCTATAAACTTAAAGTCTCGATAATAAGTACCGTTTTAGGACAGCTAAGCATTCTAAAAGGCCCATTTTGTTAAAATGTCAAAAACGTTCCAGAGTCTTACCACCTTCTGTATCTTTTATCTTGTAGGTTCTTATGAAACAAGCTGGTCTCAAGCTCCAATCAAATGTAATCCAAGGGTTTCTTTTCTTTTGTAGCAAGGTTTCATTTGATTCGAGTTTGAATCCCGTCTAATTTTAGCTAAATCTTGGTAACATCTATATATTACAGGCGATCTTCTTGAACGTTGTTAGCGGGCTTACTTTAACCGAAACTGCTGGAGATTTAGCAGTTGCAGCAGCAATTTGTAGCAGGCATGCTATCTAATTCTTTGTTAATCCCAAATTACTATATATATAAATATATGTATGTATATATTTATAATATTATAGGGGTAATCACAAAAATAGCCAAATTTTGAGTTGACTCGTTGCAAAATGACCAACTTTTTTCCAAATTAGCACAAAATAATCACCTATTTTGCTAAAAGCATGAGCAAAAACCCACTTTTTTGCGAATGTACTTTTTGGCATATTTTGTTCGTGTTTGTGGGTGCACTTCGCAAAAATAATGAGCAAAACCATCTTTTTTGGAAAATTTGGTGTTTGCTCACCCTTTTTGCGAAGTGAGCCAACAAAAAAAAAATCTGAAAACGGTACTGTTTGCCAAAAAGGGTTTTTTTGGGTAGCTGTGAGTATACGGATCGCACCGACTAATTCTCCTAGGAGACCACAAATGGCTTGGAGTCATCGCAGGTGAACCTCATGGTCACAAGGGCTTTGGCAATTCATAGATTCCAACCCGTGGAAGATGAGATTTCCACTACATCTCCCTGAAAATGCATCACAACCCAAGTTAAAAAAGGATTTTTAATTGGTGTTTTTGCGAAAAAGTTGGTTATTTTGTGATGGGTCAACTCCGATTTTGACTTTTTGTGATCATCTCTATAGACCCAAAATCATATAAAAACCGTCTATAAGTTGGAAACACTAAGAACCAATATTGACCACATATGTTCACTTGCTTAATTGTCTTATTAGTTAATTAAATTATCAATCTTTTCCTTAAAAACTCGCTTTTTGTTGTGTTTTTAAACAATCGCAGCTTTATTTCAGTAATGAAACAACACATGGGTTGATGTGTGTTGATATGTTTTGATAAGACAATGTTGTTTCAATCGAACAACATATTTCACCAATGAAACACCTTATTGGGTTGATCTGTTTTTATAACGCAGTGTTGTTTCACCAATTGAAACAACATATGTGGATTGTCTCTTTTGAGTATAATGTCGTTTCACAACTGAAACCTTACGTCGATTGGATGATTTCAAATGGGAAAAAAATGAGCTTTTGTAGGAAATGGTTGATGAGATAATTAATATAATTAATAAGATAATTATTGAAGTTGAAAATGTGTAGTTTATATTGGCTCATAGAGTTTGTAACTTATAGATGGTTTCTATTTGACTTAGGCTGGTTGATAGTTGTTGAATGATTTAGGGTTATTTGTTTACCTCTTAATAGTTTCATTAAGAGGCAACCTCTGTATCGTTAAGAGGTGAATCTTGTTTGGCAAAAAAAAAGTCTGCCTCTTAATGATTCTAAAACCATTTGAATGATTTTGTATCCTGAATCTCCCTTAACCATTAAGAGCCCTAATTTCATCGTACACAATTACCAAACAATTATATTTCATTTTGCACTATATCATGAGTCTTTTAATCATTCTGACCACTTAATCATTCTGCACCAAGCCACTTAATCTTTAGTGCAGAATGATTAAGAGGCTCTCATGATATAGTGAAAAATGAAATATAATTGTTTGGTAATTGTTTACGATGAAATTAGGGATCTTAATGGTTAAGGGAGACCCATGATACAAAATCATTCAGAGGGTTTTAGAACCATTAAGAGGAAGACTTTTTTTTTGTCAAACAAGATTCACCTCTTAACGATTCAGAGACTGCCTCTTACTGGAACTATTAAGAGGTAAACAAACAATCTCTTACCCGACAAAAAAAGCTAATTAGAGAAGTCCCATATTCAAAACTCATTCTTGTGACGATCTCTAGCTTTCTTGAGTTCCCGATCCCCAACGATGTGGCATTCATCGGTGAAGTTGGTCTTGGTGGCGAGCTTCGGATGGTGAGGATTCCGTAAACTTTTTGTTTCATAAAAAATCCCGAGCGCACACCACTGATGTTTTCAACTGCAGGTACCGAAAATGGAGAAGAGGGTGAGTACGGTGGCAAAACTCGGGTATAAAAAGTGCGTTGTCCCGAAATCGGCCGAAAAGTCATTACGAGGATTGGATTTTGGAGAAATCGAGATCTTGGAGTGTATTAATCTGAAAGAGGTTATTAACGCTGTGTTTGTAACACGTTAAAGTGCTTCAAATGGTGTTTTGTGGGTTATTTTTGTATAGTGTTGCTCCATCAGGAAAATGGTATGGTTTACTGTTTTTTAGAAGCAATTTGTAACATATTAGGGCAACCGTACCAGATATTGTTTGTTTTGTTCATATATGGACTCACGTTTTTTAAGGCTGTGTTTGGTACATGGGACGAGACGAAACAGGACAGGATGGGGTAAAACTTACTGTCTTATGTTTGGCGTGACATGAGACATGACAAGAACTCACTGTTTTATATTTGGTCATGGGATAGGAATAAGAACTGGGACAAAAAGGTTTTTCTTGTTATATTAAAATAGGTGGAACAAGATGGGACAAAGATGAGATGGAAACTAAAATATTATTACTGAACCTTTGTTTGATATATAAGCTTAATATGGTATTTGTTTTAGTGGTTACCGTTGCTAATCGCGGTCGCCAACACCATTGGTAGCCACTGTTGGCCACCTCCTCTTCCATTACAACCACCTCCTCTATCACCTCCACAGCCCTCGTACTGTCTATTGCCACCTCTACTACCATGATTGGCCACCGACCACTATCGTTGGCCATCTTCACCTTCTCTGCTACAACAACCTCCTCCATCACCTTCACAACCATCGTCAGTCACCAACCACCGTCGTTCATCGCCACCACCATGAGCCATCTCACCTCCACTATAACCACCACCATCGGCTACCACTACCACTATCTACCATCTTCACATCCTCTAGAACCACCGTCAGCTATCGATCACCACCGGCGATCTTCACCTCCGCTTGTACCGTCAGGCACCACCACATCCACCTTGACCATAATCAACACCACATTCGCCAATTGATAAAGATCTTCCAAACCGAATAAAATATAATTTCTCCTTTTGTATGAATTGCGTTTTTCAAACTACCATCAATTATATCAAAATTTTCATTCAAATTTGGTACTATTATATATATATATATATATATATATGTATATGTATGTATGTATTTATGTATATGAAAAATGTGTAAAAATGTTCATAAATTAAATTATTTTATTATATATTTTATTTGTGTTAATTATAACTATTATATGATAAATCAAATTATCAAATAACTTTTGGGGGCAACTAGTCTAGTTCTGTTATGTCTGGTTCTAGTCGTACCAAACACTTATTCGATCTAGTCCAGTCCTACCCTCTTGTCCTATCCAGTCCAGTTGTTCAATCCATTCCAATTATGTCTAGTCTTGTCTTGTCTAAGCATGTCTGCGTACCAAACGCTATCTAAATGTGTCTGATAGAGGGGATATTTAGTCTCTTATAAAGTCATTCTCCTCCCTAACTGAGTGAGATCTTACAATCCACCAATCCACCCCGTGAGATCCCCACTAATACCATTTGAAACATCGTTATATCAAATATTGTCCGTCTTATCCGTACATTGACTCAAGGTCTTAACACGTCTCTGATAGATGGTATATCTGGTTTCTCCCCTCCCTAACCGATGATATTTTTAAAAACCAATATAGTTCATAAAATTGTATAAAATTAAATCGTATTTATGTATTAGTTTTTATTTAAAAAGATTTACTTTTCGATAGTCCGGCTTCGTTTGGAAAATAATTAAGTTGTACGATCTGACTCAGATTATAGTTTGGTTCTTAACGTTTTATAACTTAACCAATCAAACTGTCTTAAAAAGTTAGAAACTGTAAGCCGGTTTGTATGTGTTATATAAATATGTGTTATCAAACAATACCTCAAAACCAGAGTTCATAAGATTTTTTGAGTTTATATATAATTCGATACACATACACACACACATATATATATATATATATATATATATATATATATATATAGGAGAAAGATCGTGTGAGAAAGAGAGTTAAAAGTGATAAGCTTGATAAGCGATCTAAACTCTTGATCATCTTAAATCTCAAACTTATCCATGAATTACATTTAATACGATGTTTGATCTGGTGTATCTCATCCTAATATACACAACCGCATACGTGTCATTTAATTCGATGGTTTAAAGTTTAAACTATACTCTTACAAATAAATGGGCCTTGAATCTGAAGTTTTTATGGGCCGTTAAAATATTAAAAACTTAGAGACAGATTCGTGAGACAGTCACTATTCTAGTCGACTGCCGTCGTCGTCTGCGGTCGCCGGTTCTCAGTAACGCCACCACCAACTGCGAGACTTCGACTTCCGTCGCCCTCTCGTTCTCAATCTATCTGCTGCGACTGCTGTGTTCCTCCACCGTCGACTGAGGTTGGTTCGTAATTAGTGATATACTGATAGCTAATTCTTGTTGCTTGGTTTGTAATAGTGATTCTGTGATAGTTAATTTTCTTGTTGCTACTTCGTGATTTGTTATTTAGATTTCGAAGGTTGTAGGTAGGATTTAGTTACTTCTGTGATACTTGCTTGTCTTCTGTATCGTTGTAGGTGAGTGTGGTTGATTAGGATGATGTAGGAAAGCGTGAACTAGGGCTTGTTTTAAGGTAATTGAAATTGATTATATCGAATCATATTACACATTTGATTTTAGAAAAGTAAGTTAAAGTGCTTGATGGTTTCTAGAAATTGATGGATTTGATCAATGCCTTTGAAGAAATTGTGATGCTCTGGCTCTTGCATAATTGCATTTGAATATAAATATAATCAATTTTGTTAGATACAAGTATTCGACGGCCATTTGTGAATTGTGATTAAGCTTTGAGGCCCATACGAAGAACGGGGATTTGACTTTTATTGACTTTGACTCTTCAGGTTCTAAACTCAGGGAAGTGCAGATAAATTGAGCATGAACAATTTCCGCCTTCTCCTCCGCCGTGGCTATGCCACCAAGTACAGCGGCAGGGTGGTCACCGAAATGGATAATGGACTCTCATTTGCGGTCGAAGTCCGAGTCCCGAACATACAACAACTTGACCCCAGAGGTTACCCTCTCCCTCGCCGTGACCTTGTATGCAAGGTTGTTAACATTCTCCAGTCCCAGTCTTCCACCTCATCAGACCCCTTCATCGAACTATCCGACTATCTAGAAACCCTAACCCTAACACTGACCCTTTCTGAAGCCTCAGAAATCCTTAAATCCATCCGCTCTACATCTCTTGCACTCCAATTCTTTCGATTTTGCCCCTCTTCAATCCCTAAATTCCGTCACAATTGCTTCACCTACAACCACATTCTTCTGATCCTCTCCAAATCTTCCTTGCCTGACAGGTTTGACTCTGTCCGTCAGATTATTATTGAGATGGAGAGGTCGTGTGTTCGTGGCAACATCTCCACTGTCAATATTTTGATTGGAATATTTGGCGGCAGTGAAGATCTGGACAAGTGTTTACGTTTGGTTGAAAAATGGGAGCTCAGGATCAATCGGTATACATATAAATGCCTTCTCCAGGCTCATTTGCGCTCTCGTGATTCAGACAAGGGATTGGAAGTTTATCAAGACATGAGAAGGAAAGGATATCAACCGGATATCTTTGCTTACAATATGCTACTTGATGCTCTTGCCAAAGATGAAAAGGTCTCATTTATGACACTTCTTGTTGCATAATGAGTTTCGTGTTTATTTTATAGTTCTTCATGATGGAATTTAACACTTCTTGATGATAGTTAAAGATTGTTTATATCAGTACTCGAACCCGTCATGTCAACTATCAAGTATATGACCTTGGTTTAGCAAAAGTGAAATGGAGCGAACTGTTGCTTCTATCTTTTTCGTGAACTAATGGTTTTATGGAGTCTGATAATCTGATATGCAGCATCTTTTTAGGTTGATCAGGCGTACAAGGTTTTCGAAGACATGAAGAGGAAGCACTGTGAGCCTGATCAATATACATACACAATTCTGATCAGAATGACTGGAAAACTTGGGAAGTGTGATGATGCCATAGCACTCTTTCAAGAAATGGTATCAAAGAACCTAGCTCCAAATTTAATTGCTTATAATACTACAATCCAGGTCCTTGCTATGAGCCGGATGGTTGACAAAACTATATATCTCTTCTCAAAAATGGTAGAAAATGATTGCCGCCCCAATGAATTTACTTATAGTATTATTCTGAATGTCCTCACTTCAGAAGGACAGCTTGGTAGACTCGATGAAGTGGTGGAAATATCAAAGAAGTACATGAACAAGGGCATATATGCATATCTTGTGAGGACACTTAGTAAATTAGGCCATGCCAGTGAGGCCCACCGCCTATTTTGCTACATGTGGAGCTTCCACGATAAGGGAGATAGAGACGCTTACTTATCCATGTTAGAAAGCTTATGCAAGGAGGGTAAAGTAACTGAAGCTTTGGACCTACTAAGTAAGATTCATGAGAAGGGGATAAGCTCCGATACTATTATGTATAACACCGTATTTACTGCTCTTCGGAAATCAAAGCAAACATCTCATCTTCAAGATTTATATGAGAAGATGAAACAAGATGGCCCTTCACCTGATATATTCACTTACAATATATTGATTTCGAGCTACGGCAGAGCTGGACGAGTTGATGAGGCTGTTAAGATCTTTGATGAGCTGGAGAACAGCAATTGTAGGCCTGATATTGTATCGTATAACTCTTTAATCAATTGTTTAGGGAAAAATGGTGATGTTGATGAAGCCCACATGAGGTTCAAAGAGATGGAAGAGAAGGGCTTAGATCCTGATGTTGTAACATATAGCACACTTATCGAGTGTTTTGGGAAGTCAGATAAAGTAGATATGGCTTGTAGATTGTTCGATGAAATGCTTTCTGACGGGTGTTTCCCCAATATTGTCACATATAACATATTATTAGATTGCCTTGAGAGATGTGGGAGAACTGCTGAAGCTGTTGATTTGTATGCAAAGCTTAAACAGCAGGGTTTAACACCTGATTCAATTACGTATTCCATTCTTGAACGTTTACAAAGCGGTTCTCATAGGAAATTTAGAAGTCGGAGGCAACATCCAATTACTGGATGGGTTGTTAGTCCTTTAAGGTGATAACTAGGTTACAACCAAACCCGATGTCACAGAGGATGCTCATTGTGCTCGTAAATGCGCAAGGCACAAGATGAACTGTCGGTCTCAATTTTGAATGTTGTTATTTATTTAAAGACGAACCTGTTGGGTTGCCAGTGGTGCCTCTGGATGAAGTCCTGATGCTGAATTTTCGAACTCTGCATGAGAGGTGAGGTCGTTTTTCTTCATTGGAAAAGAAGTTTGTCTACTTCTCTTCGATATGCTTGGTAAGTTTCATGTAACTTAGTGGCTCATTGATTCAATTTAACTTCCAATTAGTTTTAAGGAATTTTGTTCCCATCTCTTTTGCTTTTCCTGTATAGAATCTTGACAATGTTTTTGCTTTTACTGTTGGGATGGTTGCTAATATATAAATCTTCCTTGTGATCCATGTTAGAAAGAGAAATAAAAGCAAATTGGACAGGAATGACCTCCATAGCCTTATGATATCACCACAGCATATAAAACGTGGCATCTCACTTCAGGATATAGCTAGTCTCTTCCTCGCTGTCATGAATTAATGCTTAGGTCCTGTATACCATATCTTGTCTCCTGGTAGATTTCTGATGACTTGAAACCTGACAAATGCAATGGGATTTTGGCCATCCAATAAGTCTCTTGTGAAAGAGTAAGCTCCAGCTGAGAAAGATAAAGCAGGTTTTAGAGAGAGAGAGAGCATATGTGTACAAGTGAAGTGGGAAAAAAACCTTTAAGATATTACCATCGTGGTAAAATCAACCCATTTATGTGAAATCGGGTTAATTTAAGTTATAGTTTATTGATACCAAGTCAAATAGGTACAATTAAAAAATTTAGTCAAAAAAGAAACTGTTGAAATGGATCCAACCGTTTTCATGGGGGTGGGGGTGAGATTAAAAGGGATCAAGGGTCCAGATCCCTTCTTACGCTTCTTATCTTAACTCCTATTCTCACATGATACTTTGTTTATATATATGTATGTATGTAGGGGCAGGTTTCGTTAGGAACCTAAAATTGGTTAGGAACCCACGAACCACCCACAACACAACACGTGGCATATTCATCAGGAATATGGACGTGTTATTCATTACGAATGTTGTAACAAGTTCATCATGCATGTGTGATTCATGATGAATAACACGTTCATGTTCATCATGAATGTATGATTCATGATGAATATTCATCCTGAAAAGGGATATGTGGCGATTTGTGGGCGGTTCCCGTGTTCCTAATCCATTTTGGGTTCCTTCCGCAACTTTCCTCTATGTATGTATATGTATATGTATATGTATATGTGTGTGTACAAATATATATACATAACCGATCACTTAGCAACATTCAAACGATGGTTTTGATACCAAAAGACGCATAACTTGACATGAGTAACAAGGGTAGCAGGGGCCTTATGATGCTATCAAACAGGATACAGGCCTTGAACATAAGGTCCCTCACAACAAACAAGATACGCGCCTTGAAGATAAGGTCCCTCACAACAAACATGATACACGCCTTGAAGATAAGATCTGGTATTGCTACTTCTACTCAAAGTTAAAAACTTCACCCGCTCGACCCTTGAAAGTAAAAGACGAACTTGAATTTAAGATGAAGGGAGTAAAAGAGGGATGGGGCCTTTGAGAGGCAGATTTGTAATAACTTGCAAAAATGATGGCTAGTTTGACATGAAAGAGTGTATATAAACAACTCTTAAGATAACCTCATAATCATCCCTTCAACTATCTTCCTCCTACTTACCGAAAAGATAGTAGTTATGAAACTGTTACTAGTGTTTCTTGTGGTTGCTATAGCAACTGCTGCATCCCATGCAACCAACGACTACCATGTAATCCGAAGGGTTGTCCCAAACTCAGGTCTCAGCCACTCTGGTTCTGCCAAAACTAAGTGCCTGAGCTGGCGGCTGGCGGTGGAAACTTACAACCTCCGCGACTGGAAGCTAGTGCCGGCAGAGTGCATAAGCTACATCGGGAATTACATGATGGGTAAGCAGCATGGTCAAGACTGCACCGCTGCTGCTGATGCTGCATTTGCCTATGCCAAGACCATCAACCTTACCGGTGATGGCAAGGACGCTTGGGTCTTGGATATTGACCAAACTGCTCTTTCGCTACTAGATTATTATGCTCGTCCTGATGTCCAGTTTGGGTAAAACAACAGACGGGCTTTCGTTTCTTCTTTTTCCCCTTATGCGGAAATAGCTGCTCTACTCTTTGGAGTAGAGGCTAGGTTTGCGGACCCCATTTTCACGTGAGATATACTATTTGGAGTAGCCATCAGGTATGTGGACCCCATCTTCAAGTGGGATATACTCATTGGAGTAAAGGTCAGTATGTGGACCCCACATCTTCAAGTGGGATATATTCTTTGGAGCAGAGGTCAGGTATATGGACCTAACCTTCAAGTGGGATTATGCTCTTTGGAGTAGAGGCTAGGTCTGTGGACCCCGTCTTGAAATGGGATTATACTCTTTGGAGTAGAGGTCAGGTATGTGGACCCCATCTTCAAGTGGGATTATACTCTTTGGAGTAGAGGTCAGGTTTGTGGACCCCATCTTGAAGTGGGATTATACTCTTTGGAGTAGATATCAGGTTTGTGAACCCTATCTTCAAGTGAGATTATACTCTTTTGGAGTAGAAGCTAGGTCTATGGACCCCATCTTGAAGTGAGATTATACTCTTTGGATCACAAGCAGACCCCACCTTCAAGTGGGATATATGATTCGGTTTTCTACATTTTGTTTTCAGGGGAATCTTGTATAACGATACAAGATTTGAAGAATGGCTGGCACAAGGAACCGCGGCTGCAACTCCAGCGGTTCTTGATCTGTACAATAAACTGAAATCAATAGGTTTCAAGATCGTGTTCATTTCTGGGACATCAGAGACCCAAAGAGACATAAGGATTGCCAATTTGAACAAAGCAGGTTACTACAACTGGGAGAAGCTTTTGCTAAAGTGAGTGAATTTTACAAAACCACCCTTGGTCTACATTCATCACCGTGTCGGAATGATCGAATGTTGTTAATTTGCAGGAGCGAGTCGGAGCATGGGACTACAGCACAGGTGTACAAAACGAACAAAAGGACAAAACTGGTCGGAGAGGGATACAGAATCCATGGAAATATGGGTGATCAATGGAGCGATTTGATCGGTCCCAACAACGGTGATCGGACTTTCAAGTTGCCGAATCCTATGTTCTTCATTCCGTAAACCAACCGGTGGCCGGCCGGAAAAAAACTAAACAAATAATTGGATGGGTGGTGTTTCTGAGATCATCAAGAGCTATCCTCCATCATCTTTGTGTATTTCTGCAATTTCATTTGGAAGTGCATTATAATTTTAATAATAAATTAATAATAATGATCGTCTTTTGTGAATACTCTTTCTTCCCAAACGTGTATTGCCTTTTTATTTGTTTATTAAATATTTAAATTTAAAATAAATATTTTTATTAAATTATTGATAAAATAATAGTAATATTTGTGATCATGGATTATAGTATTATATCAGCAACACCCTTATCGTATGTGATGATATGCGTAAGGGGCATAGTGGTGTATTGTTGGCTTGGCCTGCAACCTGGGTCGTGCCAAAGGTTGTATGTGTCTCTCATTTAGGGGCTGTTTACCAAACACTTACCCGATAAGTGTTTACGGGTAAATTTAACACTATTATTTACTTACCGGGTAAGATTTTAGTCCACCAAAATAACATCGTATGCAACAATTTACCCAGTAAGTGCTTACCATGGTAAGAGTCGTCGCCTTCACTTACCGGGTAAGACTCTTGGTCCTTATTTCGTTCTTACCGGGTAAGATTTTTGGTCCTTACCATATTCATCATGTGAGGTAACGTAGCTTGTTAAGCACTTACCCGGATAAGTGTTTGGTAAACGGCCCCTTTAGTGTTACATATGTATCATATGTGATAAAAATATAGTATCACATGAGATTGACTTAGTAAAAGGGTGTTCTTACGTTCTTGTAACATGATAATGTTTTCGTTTGAACCCTTCGTTCGCCGTAACCTTGGAAAACGTTGTGGTCTCGTTGTAATTGTTAATGTTCGAGGTTTGACTTAACCTTGCCGTCACACCATGCTTCATGTTGTTTAAAACCTTTATTTTACGAGAAACCCTAACAAGAATCCAAATTTTTTGAATACGACAAATTGAATATTAACACAATGTATTTACGATGATTCAAAAGACGAAGTTAAATGTTTAAATATTAATCGTTGAAAAACCTTTCTCAAAAAGTTTACGCATTAACGGAGGTTTTTAGAGATACGTTTTTATAGGTAGAAATCTGATATGGTAAAAGTGACCATTGTGGATGCTCTTAATAAGTTCTTATCCTACTGGTCACTCGCAGAGGCAGATCCAGAAAGATATTTTTGTGGTTGCACGCATAGACGGACCTAGAGGGGTGGTTAGGTGGCACGTGCCACCGTATTGTTCCTCCGTGGTAAGGTAAAAAAATTAGGTTTGTGAAAGGTGCAATCGTTTTATATGGTGTCACCGTATCCAAAAAAATTTGGGTTCATCCTTGGTTGCATGTAGCACACAACCAAACAAAATTGTAGCAGCGTTAAGGACCTTAAAACAAAAATTACACTAATATCTGGAAAAAAAAAATTGTGGTTGCACGGGTACCCACTCGAACCCTCCTAAATCCGCCCCCTGGTCACTCGTTGTGGTCTGATGTCTAATCACGCATCATGTCTCCAAGTTTGATCTGTTATCACTGTTCTAATTCAGTCAATTATATATTGTTATTTGGTAGTGGCTTAATGATATAAAAATTAACTTATTTTGTAAAATTCTAGGCAGAGATTTTATACAGAAAGTCAAGTTTTTTTTTCAGACATGTCGCTTCCAATAAAAAAACATGTTTATTTCAATTATGAAAAAAAAATCATCTCAAACAAAACTTTACAATTTATACAGACAAATTAATACACACAGACAGCTTAGCTTTGTATCTTATTCTAAACCCTGATAAGCACGTGGGAAATAAATAAAAAATCATTGGACGGTTTTTTTCTTTGGGTGGTTGAGATATCGTTATTGCACCTTAAATTCATAAAATATTATCATTTTTATAATCTAAAAATACAAAATGACAAACTTGGTCCCTGTGGTTTGTAAAAAACAACGGTTTTCCTCCCTACGGATAGGTTTGTAAATGAACCACCTTAACGTGTAGACAAATGATTGTGTGAAAATAGGAGTTAAGATGAGAAGTGTAATAATGGATCAGATCTGTATTCTTGATTACTTTTACTCTCATCCCTGCCTCATGAATTACGCTTGATACGATAACTGATCCGATGTATCTCAACGATTATCTTTATTATATTTTATATTTAAAATGAGATATTTATCTTGTATTTGATTATGTTTATCTGCGATTAGTTATATTGACAAGTGCAAAATTTATACATTTTTTTATGTCAAAGTTACCTTGCATTTAATGATAAATAGATGCTTAAAACGTCCATTTTTATGTAAGATGGTATTTAATCCTATGAGGCTATTTCAGTTGGGAAAAGAAAGAAAATAAGAATTGATTATTTGTTTTTAGTTCCTTGCTTCCAAACAGTCTTGCTGAAGCCCATATTTTCAGGCCCAACTCTTGCCCAAAAGAAATAAGAAAAACAGCAGCCCAAAAGCTGTTGCCCAGTCTTGGAATCGGCAACGAGAGGAAGCAGACAGCAGAGCGAGAGAGATCGTGGGTAGCAAGAGACAAAGCAGAGATCGTGGATCATGGGCGAATACGAGGTGACGATTGAGGCTGTCGATAAAGAAGGGGCAATCGAGGAGGAGCAGCAGGTTATTGGAGCAGAGGACAGCAGAGGCTGTCGAGAAGGGAGCTGTTGATTTAAAAGGCAGAGTCTGTCGATTGGGGAGGAGAGGTCCATACGAGAGCAATCGAAAGGGGCTGTGATCGAAGGAGAGAAATCGAGCAGCAGGTGACCTTGGGCTGTTCGATTGGCTGTAAAGAGAAGGAAGCAGCAGGTCATCGRAAGCAGCAGATAGAAACCGAGAAAAAGAGGCTGTTCGATTGGGAGTCTGTGGATTGAAAACCGAAAAAGGAATAGGACAGCTGATATGTGTTGAGAAATTAACACATAACGCATCCGTTTTACGTCTTTTAAGTTAAAATTAGTTATTTTTCGTTCCCACTTTGAGTCATTTTAATTTAGTTCTTTATATTTCTTGTTATGGAGCTAAAATATTGTGGTTTAACTTGCTGGAACCAGAAAATATAAGCTAACGGATAATTTTTTATAAAACAGCCTAATGCTACAGCACTGCAGCAGCAACCATCTAATGCACACACGGTTGGGCAAGGGCTTAACGATTAAGCTGCTGATTTTTGGTGCTGAATGAAGGAAAGCCAGATGACAGCTGGAAGATCTTAAAAATCTGGAAAGTTTGGGACCAATGGATTATCTTTAGCATAGGATTCTTTTTATTATTAAACATTGGTCATTAACCATTGGGTTTTTACTTTTGGCTTAACTCTTTGTATAAATAGGAGTGCTTGGACACTTGTTTATCTATCTAATATCATATCTTAAGGATCAAAATCAGCTAGTGAGAGCTGATTTTGAGAGTCTTTAAGAAAAATTTCCAAGTTCTTGAGTT